TTAATATTTTTTATGTTCGCGTTCGGAGGGTTTTGGGCGCTTGTTCGCGTTCGCCTCCGAACGCGAACACGGTGCTACGTAGCTTTGAACCTGACTTCTGGGTCAACTTCCTCATGCCAGCTCATTCCCAGAATCATGTCTAAGGGCAGGTTCTTTTCAATTAGGAAGCAAATCTCATGTAATTTTTTTTTTCCCCTCCTTAGTTTTGAAATAACATTTTACACGATCGACATATTGAGCGACAGTGATTGTGCTCATGTCAACCAACATAGACATAATAGGTCTAGGCAAGTCTCTTACCTTCATTCCCAGATGCAATTTACAAATTGCCTTCTCTGAGATGTAAGACCTCATCGATCCTGGATCTAATAGAGCACCTACTCGTGTATGTGCAATTTCAATATCCGCGATCATAAGTTCACCCTTAGATTTAGCTTTCTTAGCCCACGAACTCCTAAGAGCGATGAGTTCAGTACCGAGTTCGTCAAGGGAATCGTCTAGGGAGACGAAACATAAAACATTGTTAAGGTGTTCTGAACGACGGGCCAAAGAAGAGTCATCCTCTATCGGATGAGTCGAGGGGTTGAAAGGGATATTTGGCGCCTTACCTTTTTCTGAACCACTTAAACCACCAGTACCTCCACATTTTTAGGCCGTTAACGAGGTGGCTGAATTGGTGCGCCAAGCGGGTCCATGTGCATTTGCGTCAGAGCCTCCCCAGAGGGGGCCTAAGACCCCCTGGGGTACTGGTGGTTTAACTCAGTAGGAGCAGATGCTACTCCTACTGGCTGCTCACTTTTGGGTTACAGATCAGCGGGCACCATGCTATCACGTGCCCCATGTTGCTACACTTGAGACACTCACGGTTGTTCATCTTGGACTGCCATTCCTCCCGTGTCATGCCCATCTTTTCCCATGGTTTCTTAAACGCCATGTCGGGGTGCTCGGGGAACGAGCGTGGCCTCTTCTTCTTCTTCCACTGGTTGTTGCCACCCTTGTTGGCCACCACGGCAGCGACGTCACCCCTTCCTGACTCGTTGCCGCCATTACCTCTTGCTTCCGACTCGTCGCGAGGTAATTTTTTTACGGTATCATCATCGAAAACAAGAAGCACGTGGTCCTAGCGCTTTTGCCGCCAAAGGACTTGCTTGCCGTACCCAGCTACCAGACCATTCTTTACCATGGAAGCATAAGTTCCGTTTACCTGCGCGGTCATCTGCTCTCGTTGGAGAGTGAGATCGCGAAATTGTCTGTAGTTGTACTTACCAGACTTTGCTTCGGCCACGAGTTGTCCGCGAATCAGCTCGGGCAATCACGTGAGTAGATGTAAAAAACCTGGTTGTCCTGCAAATTCAGTTCAGGTACCTGCAAGAGACGATCCACCTCACGAGAGAACGCATCCACATACGGCCAACGCTTCTGACCTATAGTGGTGAGTTCATCAAAGGCCTTATCAGTCGCCGTCTTATCAAGAAACCTCTCCTTTACTTTCTGGAGAAATTGCTAGAGTGTCAAGGTCTTAGCCCACTCACCAATGTCCTCAAATCTAGCAGCGTTAGCTTCGAACAAGACCCACTCCTTGGCCACTTCTCCCAAGCAAGACGTGGAGAAGGTCACCTGACTCTCAGGCTCAATAGGCGCGGTACTGCAATAAGTCTGGACTTCCGCGATCCACAACAATAAATTTTCTCTTTTTTTGTTGTTGTAGGTGAAAGGCAATTTCATCTTTACCTTTTCCTTTCTTTTGGATTTCTCTGCTTCCTTAGACGGTTCTTCTTCCTTGGCCGATTATTTCTTTTCCGTCGGCTTCCCTGGTTCCTTCTTAGAGCTTTCGGGTTCTTTCTTCACTTCCTCCCCCCTGGTCTCGTCCTCAATCCTTACCTTGTCCTTGCCCTTAAGAAGTCTGGTCACTTTCTCTAGTAAGGCAATGTTACTATCTATCTTTTTTTCAAGGTGGACGAGATAAGTCATTATGGACTGCAAAATGGATGCAAGTTCAATGTTTGCTTCTTCATAATGAAACTTCTGCCTTAATTCATTCATCATTCTTTCTTGTTGTTATTTTTCCTCTTTCTTTTTCCGGTATTCTTCTATCCTCTTTCGTTCTTCCCTCAGCATGTTTTCTAGTTGCCTGATGTTCTCCTCCAAAACCTCCTCAGACAGTTCAGGTTCTACCTTCTTTTCTTTCCCTTCTTCTTCCCTTGCTTTTCTCTTCTGGTCCATCTTATCCAGATGCTCGACGACATAACGATCAAGGGCTATTCACCCTTGCCTTATGAGTTCCTCGACTCGTTTCCCTGTATCCAGCATCAGAGCGGCAGTATCAACGGCCTTCAGTTCATTTTTCTGCAGCAAGCAGATTGAACTGTCCGTGAACATGCCGTTCAGCTTCTAGTCCGACGCCATGTATCTCGCCAAGCAGCTTGCGGAGAAGGCCTGTTAACGTTTGCCTTCTCGCCTGTATCTGACCACGAGTCTTTAAGACTCCCCCTTCTTCATCAGCAAAGACAGTGAGATGGATAAGAAAGAAGAAGAGAGGAATGAGTCTTGTGAAGATAGAGACACGCAAACATTTCCAGAGATAAGTCATGGTTCCCAGAGTGTAATTGCCGCACAATAAACAATTTGAAAAGGCAGAAATAAATTCCACGGCCACACTCAAATTCCAACAGCAAGAAATAAACAAAATAATTAAGAAGAAATAGATTCTCAATTTATTCCTACTTCTAACTTTGTTGTCTACTCTATGTGAGATGACGTCCTACAGAGAGTTCATGGGTACCACAGCCACGGCCAGTGTGGTCAAAACACAACAACACAGGTGAGTATGCAAGACAACCACAGAACAGCCAAGACAAGTGAGGAGGTCAGCCAACACAATCAGCAACAATCAATTGTCAGCCTTCCTTCCTCTACGGCTGTACCATCTGCAGCGTCAATGCAGCCAGACACAATGGCCGGTACATGACACTACAACAAATTTTGAAGCCGTACCATCTGCCAGCATACAAATATCAACACCTCACCCACAGCAACATGCCAAGCATGCCACGTGCCACCCCTGGAATGCCAACGCAACACATGCGCAACGTCAACGTCAAGAGCCATCTCGGCTTTCTGGAGAGATGCCACGTCAACAATGCCTGGACTGCCAACTCATCCAACACTGGTATGCCAAGTCAGATTGAAGGAACATTGCTGAAGTGTGGAGCGCCACATCAGCAGGTAAGTCGCAACACGGGTACATGCCACGTCAGACAACGCCCTGCCAATAGTAGGATGCCCCTGCGCCCTGCCACGTAGGCAGCGTGCCATGTCAGCAGTCCCAGTATCCACTCTCTCTCTCTTGCCTACTAGCGCCACGTCAGCCTGCTGCCAACGGTGCTCTTCGCTGGTATCCCAATACCACGTTAGCAACAAGGCGCCGCATAAGCAATGTAGCCGTCTTCTTCTTTAGAGTGTCCACGTCATCACCTTCAAGGGAGGCTGTGTGCACGTGTGGTATGCAATGTCTAGACGTGCGATACTAATCGTGCACGTTTATAAACGCGTTTCGTCCCTGATACATGCAGCACCCCCCACTTACTTGTGCGCCATGTGGTGCCTGACAGCAGATCGTGACGAAGAAGGTATGCTCTGACACCAAATTGTAATGAACCCAGACTGGAAGATACTCATCAGACATCGAAATGCAAGACAACTCAGATCTGGACAATGTCTCCAGTAATCATGAAAGTGATCTCTTATACAATGGCTCGTTACCAATAGACGAAGAGAGTGGAGGGGGAATAGACAGATAAGAGGGTGGAAGAGATAATCAATGACCACCAAAAGAGTAGCTCAACATTACCCACTCCTTCTCCGGGCTTCCCCTCGCCTCCACGTCACCAAACAGTATCCAGTAACGAGTCTAACAAGTCCTGATCACATAGAAGTGCCCCGTGGCACCGTTCCCTCGTGAAGACAATTGAGACAATCAGCAGCGCAATAGATCTACGTCAACCTCAGGTAAGTACCCCGTTCCTCAATCGTCCACAGATCCCGATCTCCCTCCTTGTCATGACCAATCACCCCGTGTAGACAGCGTGGCCAGTGCCACGTCAGCAATGAAGACAGGTGGCATGCACCATGTCAACAATGGAGACAGGTGGCATGCGCCACATCAGCAATGGAGACAGATGCCATGCGCCACATCAGCATTGGAGACAGGTGACATGCGCCACATCAGCAAGGCTGGCGCTCAAAAAGAAGGCGTTAGCATGTCGCCACAGTCCCTTGTCGTCGTCCACAGTGCCAGCGCACAGCCAGCGTCCAGCCAGCGTCCAGCCAGCGTCAAGGCAGCATAGCAAGACTGAATGTCGACTCCCTGGAGACCAAGCCTTGTGTAATGTTTGACGAGGCTGACCAGCCTCAAGTCCCCCACCCACGGTGACTCAGATTGACTCACAGCCGAGGGCCTGGATTGCGGACAGTTGCAGACTTCCACTTGGTCCTGATGCTGTCTTGGTACCTGCATACAAACAAGTGAGTGTGTCTGACCATCGGCCTGGGCTGGGTCCGTCTTGACTTTGACTGTAGGGCCTTAGGCAGTTGACCAAAGTCAACAGTCGGGCGCTCAGGCCCTGGGTTATTTCCAAAGGGCCTTCTGCCCCTTCGTCCTCTCGGTCAGAAGTTGGGGTCGTGGCCTGTGGGCCCCTTAGTTGTTCAACGAGGCATAATGAACGGGTTATTGCATAACATGAATAATGTCCGATAAAGTCGGATAAACAAAATCAAGACTCTAACAGGTCAAGTGCTAACAGACAATAACATTAAAATAGCAGCCCATACAGTAGCCACCCAGCCACTTCACAACACTTGTAACAGAGCCTCTCAAGTAACACATTACAAATGAAATGAAGAGGATAAAAGAAAATAAAGAGGATAAAATGGAATGAAGAGCGGGATAAAATGAAATCAAGAGGACAAAGACGATGATAGTGCCAGAAATATGCCCTCACCTTATAACGTGCACATGTCTTTACAATTTCCAACACCTCTTCTGTCGATCTGTTCACACCGCCAAAACAAAATTAGCATTAGCACTCTCCCTCCCTCCCTCCCTCCCTCCCTCCCTCCCTCACATGAAGTGCCATATGTAATCACCTGCAAAATGGCAGACTGAGAACTCTCCACTTTTCTGAGTTTTGCCACTGGGCTGAGTGACTTGCTGAGATTCCCATATTCTGCTGAGATTTCTAAGTACATGTGTGTGCATGATTGTTGATTTTCCGTGGGTTTGACTGACTGCATGCTTATATGGGTGCGTGCGTGACCCACCAGGGTACTTGTGTGCTGGGAAGGCCTACTGGCCTGGTACTTACCTGTGGCCATGTGTTTGCTAGGACGCAGTGGGATTTCAAAGTAGGCTAGGCCTGTGTAGGTTGAAAAACACTCAAGTAGCGGGTAGGTAGGCAGAAGAAGACAAAAAGTTCGTACCTTCGGAGGCAGAAGTGAATTTAGAGTCCGGTAGGCTTAGAAGGGAAGGTACCGGTCCAAGTAGCCTGAGTCTAGAGCCTGCAGGAGGGGATATCAGACAGCAATGATGTTTCCCTCCGAAACGTGGAAGATACTGGTAGCTTGGGAGGCTGCACGGCCTCGAAAGTCACGGCCCAAGGAGGAAGTACTCCAGTATATCTAGGCGGAGAGTGAAGAGCTCTTCCTCATTTGGCAGTGTGAAGTTTGAGCGTCATGCTGGAGGAGCGAGCGCTCAGTTTTGGACTGCTGGGGAGGACAAAGGCGGGCTTGGCCCTCCACCTTGGCTATGGTGGAGAGGACCAAGGACGAGACTCCAGGGGAGTAGAACGAGGAGGAAGACGGTGAGCAAGGAGGAGAAGGAGCGCGAGGGAGGACCTAAGGTGGGCACTTGACCCATTCCTCAAGCTTAGTAAAACTTTTACCATCATTTTTCTCTAAGAAAATGAACTTCCAAAATCTATACCGAGCTAGACTCGCGCCTTCTGATATTACTCTAAGCCTTTATCCAACTAGTACTACTCTGCCTAGGGCTCTAGCACTCGGGGAACGCGTATGCAGGTAAGCTACCAAAAGACACCCCATGACAATTTAAGAATATTATTCTCAATGAATTTGTTATTGTTCATTCTTTCCTTAGCTCGATTGTTTATAGCGTTCAAATTAGCAATCTGCATTCTCCTTTTACATCAGCATATGATCAGACCACCCATACTAGGGACATGTCTCGCCTGCCTGAACCAGCCCTTAAAACAAAACATGCAGTTGGACCACCCACACTGGGGACATGTCCAGCCCTTCGGAACCAAGTCAAAGAAACACACAACCGGACTACCCACACTGGGGACGTGGCCGGCCTTTCAGAAACCAGTCTAATAAACACGTGGCCAGACCACCCACAAAGGGGGATGTGTCCGGGTTTTCAGAAACGGAATAAAGCATGCAGTCGGGCCACCCACACTCGGGACATTCCCGGCCCTTCAGAAGCAACCCGAATTAAACATTCGACTGGAACACCCACACTAGGAACGTGTCCAGCTTCCCAAAATCAGTCGATTAAACACACAACCAAACCAGCCACAGTGGGGATGTGTCCGGCTCTTCAAAAACCACACAAATAAACACTCAACCAGACCACCCACACTGGGTACGTGTCCTGCCCTTCTAAAACCCAACCATTACAGTCAAACCATCCTTATCCTTTTGCCACCCTTTCCAAGCAGTCTCTTTTCACATGCATTGTCACTTTTTCCTGTTCAAGTTATGTCCTGAAATAATATGCAAATGATATTATTACAACAATAGTCACAAGCAAGACTGTAGAGGGTCGTACAGATGAGGGCATACGGAATATGGCGTGCAAGACCACCTCAGAGCTCCCCGCCTGCAGAACCCTCCTGGGCGGTAGAGCTCCCGCAATCACGCGGGTAGCCTAAGGTCCCACAGGCTTGCAGTCAGCAACCAGTCATACAGGCTAGTCAGAATAAAGGAGTCAACGGCAGCGGCAGGATGAATCAAACAGCAAGGAAATCGGCACGGCCTTAGCTAACCCCAATCGTGATGGCAGCCAAAAGATGAATATAGATCTCGCACCTCAACCCAACACAGAGTTGCTACTCCTCCCAATGCCAACAACAGATGCCAACAGCTCCCACCTTAGGATGAAGCAGTGAGAACAATGGCACTCAGCGGCGGCACCGAATCCCAAAAGGATGGAGAACCAGTAACTGCTCAATACAACAATTGTAAGACGTAGCTGCAGTAACTGTAACAGCCCGCTGCTTGCAGAAATGACATTCGGCATTAAGCAACTCCAATCCACACTCGATCAGTAGTTGTCACTACCACTACCATGATAGCAGCTATGATGACCGGAAGGTCTGACCATGACCACCATCGGAGCTCTCATGGGCGATACAGGAGTAGCAGCCCCCAGCTAGCCACAATGGCCATAAAGACCACTCAGATCATGGCTGACGTCCACCAGACAATCTTCAACGCATCGCCACAAACACAAGTATCCAATCCCGGCATGTCCTCAACTATCAGTACACCTGCATGGGCTGTAGACACCCCTACAAACTACAATTGACTAACAGCAACAACCTGTGACTTCAACCAACTTCTAGGAAAATGTTCATCCCATTCTTCGACTTGCTCAGCCCACGCAACCTGCCCAAGCCGAAATCTTCGCAAAATGTCAATCACCAGACCAAACTTTTGACAGTCACAAGGCCAAGTCCAGCACAAATTACTGGTCAATCACTGATTCCCACTGATAGCTCAATCACCCAGCCTATTTGTTCAAACAGCAGCCCGTGAACGGTCCACGTACAAGAGTTGGCCTTGACTTTGTTGGCTCTTACACGTCTGCGAACACCCAACCTTAAGAGGCTTCACCCTGATCTGAACTCTGCCGATGTGGCTTGTGGCCCTTCTTGAACTTCTACTCTTGATGCACCTGGTTGACATTTCAGTCAGGGTCCTGCATCTCCCAGGTCGGTTTTCGTACAATCACAGCCTCGCCGCAAGATCACAATTCATAGCCCCGGTCACAGCAGCACGTGCCTACTGAATTGCACGACAGTGGCAGCTGCCATACTGACGGCGCCTTACTGCTTGGCCCTCAGGCCTTCTCTCAGGAGGTCACGGCCAATCAGATGATGCACCAGTCTTGACATCAACCAGAGGCAAATCCAGGTAAGTATTCACCGCTTTCCTCCTTCAGCTCTCTTACTTGCTTCCCCCTTACTCCTTTCGACTCTGCACAAGTACTCTCTGCTCGTACAATTTTTTTTCTCTTCTCCCCACCTCCTTCTACTTCTTATCCTTCCTCACGTGCATCAAACCCCTCGGACCGCGCTCCAAGGATCAAGGAATTTCACTAGCTCCCTGAGCAACAAACAGGCACATGCCTACACTCTCAACTGCCATGGCGACCACAAATCTCACGGGAACCTGTCTTTATTTGGACCACAACTGTTTGGTCTGCAGCTTTTCCTGGCTTTCGATTTTGTTCCACCTAGCCGATGTTGGAACCAGATTCAGCCCTTCTTAAGGGATGTGTGCTCCGGCAAGTAAGTGCCCGTAGACGGTTCTCTTCCTCCACTTCACCCTCTACTTTTCAACCCGCTTACCTGATGCCGAATCCATCTGCACTAGGTTCACCCGGGTCGAAACTCCGAGTGAAACCTCCGATCCGCCCGTTTCCGCAAAGGAGCATGCCAATGTGCTTCCTTCTGTCCCGTCCTTCTCTTCCTTCTTCACTGTGCTGCTTTCTCACCGAGTTGTCACCAACTCTTCCCCCTCTTCTTCGTCTTTCTTCCCATTCCTGGCCTTGAGCCCAGTCGATCACCCAAACTAGCTGTGGCAGTGGTGCAGCCAGCTGCTTCTCCATCCTCCTCCCCTAGGTGCATCTTCATGCCGGTTGGGTTCATATATCTCTAAGTACTGCAAATGATAGTGTACTTCCACACTCAGGAATATGCCCTGGCCAAGCGGATATACCACTACTCTCGCCACCTTACGCCCAACTCCCCAATTTGTGGTTGAAAGCAGAAGAAATAAGGCCTTCACGAGCATTTCAAACATTCAAACATGTAACACTCCTCGGCCCGTGTTCGAAAACGAGCAGAATAAAGAAGTCTCTGCAGCATCTGGACAGGTAAGAAATCCCCCCTTCCTATCTCGACTATCAACAGCTGAGATTGCTTGCCCATTTCTTCTTTATCCCTTTTACCTACCTAATCAGCTCCCATGGTGACTGGCCTGTTCTTGCAGCCGAATTCCCCGTTCCTGCGCTGTATACTCCTCCCTCTCCCAGACTTCTCTCTGAGTCTCCCTCCTGCTCCTCCTCCTTCCGTCACTCCCTTAACAACCAACCTGACCCCATTGTTCAGCTTGCCCTGGCTAAAGGTCCGAGATCAAACTCTCCCCCCTTCAACTCTGTTCAGAAATGCCAAACCAAAGCTCTCTTCACGAAACTGAACCAAGCGCGCATGGAGTCTTCACCTTCCGCCCTGACAAACCCGTTACCCAATATGGAATTCTGCCATAGCCAATAGCTTTGCAACGTATTAAAACTTCCACCTAGCATCTTTTCTCGTTCAAATCCACTGAGAATCGGGCGAGACATGACTTTTTTCTTCCACCTCCACACTTGTTTTCCTCCTCGTTCTCGTCAACTTCAGTTCTTCCCCTTCTTCCTCTTTTCGTCTTCAAAGTTCACTTAGCTTGCTGACAATGCCCTGGTGCGACAGCAAACAACAATCAAAATCGCCCTCCGCTATCGGACCATGCACCTTTCCCCTCCTCCCGCTGAGTGGGTCTCAGCCTATTGCCCACACTTAGGAGGTACAGGCATAGCTCCCGATTCATCCTACTTCAGGGCATACCCACACTAGGACTTTCCCTCTATGCTCTGGACGTGATTGCGGTCAGAATCATCCACGTCCGGTCATAAGTGCAGTCAGATACATCTAGGATAGTGCTGGCGTGAGTGTGCTGTGTCATGGCATCGTCGTAGCCCTTTGCCAAACGAACCTGCCTCATTTCCAAGGCCGATTTAGGCAATAACAAGTACAAAAAAACTGAAACCCAAAAAAAGGCACGTGCTTACCTACTCCCACGTGTGGGTTTTCCTTGCTTTGAAAAGCCGCTGCTACGCTGGGCAACGACCTTCAAGTTGGAGTATCATCGCTGAACTGACAAATCCCGGATGATTCCTAATCACTTAAATTTGTCAACAGTTCACGGGTATACCAACTGATCTGGGCCCGTTGGTCTTTGACCGTTCCCCTGCTCCGCACACGTCAACCTTGTGCAGGAGCCATGTTAATCTTCTCTGTATCGTTCCAATTTTAACGGATGTGGCGAAGGACGATCACAGTGCCTCGTGGGCAGGGAGCTGACCCGGCCCAAGTAACTCACGGCTATATTATTCAGTTCATCCGATTGATTCCGGATCCAAACTTGGGCCTGCATTTCTTTTCTTTTTTTTTATTTTTATTTGCCCCGTCTATTCTCGGGGGTGGCAATCCGGTTGCTTATTACCGGCAAGCATAGAAAGAGAATATGATAAAAGACGAGGTAGGTAGTGGGCGGTTTCGAGCCCAAGCCAGTCCCGCCTGCGCCACGACCGGTGGCCGGCCAAACACAACCAGGGTAGCACCGGGACGCGGGATCACACCCTGTCGTGCTGCCCATAGTGCGGGGCCAGGGCCTGCTAGGCCACACCTCGCTTCCGTCACTTCCCCCCACATTTAACCAACCAACACAATGCTTCCCATATTTCCTCTATTGTAACCCCCAATGCCACAGTGGCCCCCTTCTACCATCTTTCTGTCATTGCCAAGAGTTTTCATACAGATTTCCCAAACTGATTTCTAGTCAACCCCCCCCTCCCTCCGCTCCTTCCCTCCCCCTCCCCCTCTTCCCTCTATGCCCTCTGGTCCCCAACACTATTCTACACACTGGTTTACCAGGCACTACTTATTTACAAGTCCAACTGTCTGGACGGTTTACGGGGCTGCACCAGAACAGTCACTAGCTGCAATCCCAACTGCCCAGCGAGACAAGGCAAAACCGACAATGCCTACAACCTCATTCCTATGCACAAACGTCTCCTTAACTCGACTACACTCTCTTAGAGTCACCCCCACCCAAGCACATCCCCCTGTACATAGTACATACGACTTATTTACAGTCCTGCTCCGTCAAGCCACCCCATCCAAACACATCTCCCTACACACCACTTACGTGCACACCTGGGAGACCCCCCTTGTTGCTCTGTATTTACAACCCCACCCACCAGAACAAATATTAACCACAACTCAAGAACGGACATCGACTGCAAACCCACTGCGATTTCAGTCTTACATACCAATCTACAAGCCTACCCAAACACATCTCTCTAGTTCTGTATTCACAGTCCCGCTGTCGGGCGCATCGGTCCGGCACCGCATGTGGCAGCGCGGGACCCTCCCGGCCGTGTCACGCAGGAGTTGGACCAACCTTGCCGCGAACACCCAAATGGAGCTTCCTTAGGCCGCTCCGGCCGAGTGCACCAGCCATACCTCTCGCGAGCCCCTACGACAGGATAGGGCCTACGCGAGACACAACTTACCTCCACCTTACGGGAGTTGTCACCTCCCTTCGGTGGGTGTATCCCCACCGAGCTACCAGTCCACAGTACGAAAGCTACTCGGTTGCAATCGCAGAGGCGGACCAGCCGAGGGCGTTTCTCGTTCGCTGTAGCGTAGGGGGTACGCGCGGTAATACGCATATTGGACCCGCACGCGAACCGACATCTTGGGGGCCTGAGGTCCCAAGCGTGGCTCGACGTCGGTCGACCAGGACCCATCCCACACACCACGCGCACACCACTTTACGAACACAAAAATAAAACACACACACACGAAACGACACAACACAAACAACGCGACAACGCTCCTAGCCCCTTGGTAGCCATCCCATAACTCTCTGATGCGAAAATCGGATAGGCGTCGCGCACGAAACTTAATATAAAACCGCGCGGACGCAAGGCTAACTCATATCGACTCGCAATGCAAGCATACGCAAGCGGTCACAATGATGGCGTACTATGTGGTACCCATACTCACGCGGTCCCCATTAATCGCGAGGGTCGCGTTCGACACTCAAGTGTCGGCTGACACTCGCCTTGAGGGTTAATCTCTCGACGCCGGACAACCGCCATGCGCGGTTGAAGACCACACCCTCTTCTGCACCCTGTGCAGAGAGGTTGAGTAGACAGCTTTAAGCTGTCGTGGCGGTCGAACATCAAGGGGTTTGACTTTGACGGCTGCCACGGACTATAACGTCCAACTATAAAAACTCCAAAGAGCAAAGGATAACAGAGGGTCTTCCTTCTCACTCAAGCCCAAATCTGGTTAACCCTTGCGCATGATCACTATAAGCCGCACGCATACCCGAGGCACTTATATAAGGGTTAATTATATAGGACGATCACTTCTCACAGTCACAGTGAGGCTCCTCTCAGCCATATATGTATGAAATCGCAGGCAATCACACCCAAAGTCCGAACCACAACCATACCTGCAATCACATCAAAGATTCAACCAGAAGTCCACGCACTACACGGGTTCAACTTCAACCATTCCTTGCACTCATACCCCTCGCTTTAGCCATACAAACCTCACTCGTGCAACTCTTAAATAAATACTCAATACTTTTGTTGGATGACCATTCAATAAATTCCGGATAAAAACACAACAAAACAATTCAAATCTCAAGGCTAAGCCTTTAGGTTGAGCGGCAGGAGTGAATTGGAGTTGAATCGTAAACCGACAAATCGACAACCGACCTGTTATCAGAGATAACAGAAGATGATCCTCGCAGGATCTGGCTGAAACTAGATCCAGTCCTGAATCAAACGGTCCAGAGGACCTATAACACATGACAGACCAATCCCCAAGCTAAACTCGTAAGCGTATGGAGAACACAACTCCATAACACATTCTCACCCAAGATCCTTCTAATTGACTAAACCTGAATCTACCTTCAAGCAGTGCCCAAAGCAAGGGTAGACCCTAGCATAATCTCCCCTATACAGAGTGGATCGCCAGAATCGCCATCTGTCAAAATATAATCTATCTCCTCTAAATTAGGAAAATTTCGGCAGCGCTTCCCGTAGGAAAAGTGCCTTTTTAGAATTTATATCAGCCCGAATATGAAACCAAAAATAGTCTTTGACTTCTCAAAGTCTAATTTTGTCTAACTCCCTGAATTAGCAAAAATTTGGGCAGCACTCCCTTTAGAAAAGGAGACTTTCCAAATTTTTACTAAGTCATATACGAACCTTAGACAAGTTGAACTTTGAAAAGTCAAAAATTTGACCAACTCCTTAGATTTGCAGAAATTTCGACAGCGCTTCCCGTAGAGAAAGTAGCTTACCAAGATTTATACAAAGCCAAGTATAACAAAAGATCTCAGAAAAATGCGAGAATCGATCTAAGTAAAATAAACTTAGCTCAGAAAATGCAGACATTGAACTAACTCCTATCGCTCTAGCACGTGGCGAGCTTCTAAAGCAACTACCTGTCAAACTGAATCTCAGACCAAGTAGTAGCCTCACTCAGTCACATGCAATGCCAAACCACAAAAGTAAGTACTCTCGCCACCCCAAGTTAATTTAGCAAACAATAGTTCATAGTCTTTCAATTATTTAACCCTTTACTCCCGGCTTACATAGGGCATTGGGATTGGTCATTCATCTTAGAAACAATGCCAACCCTCTGCCTTAGGTATACACGAACAGGTTGCAAAACTACTTTTCTCTTCAATGGGCATATG